GGATCGCTAACATCCTCTGACAATTGCTGGCTATTCTGGTAAATGACTGCTGTTATGAACTGATGGACTATGATGAGTTTAAACTGGAGTTCTCCTCAATGCTTCCCCACCTTAAGCTGGCCACCCATCCTGGGAGTCAACAAAACAAAATAAGAGAGAGTTGTTGGAAAGGGTTGAAGATGAATACATGTGCCGGGCTGTGGTGTGGCCTGGGCATGATTGAATTGAGAATGAGGAGACACCACAAGGAACAAGATAGGCCACAGCTGAGGCCACCTAGAGACTTCCCGAATAATTTTTCTTAATTAGAATCATCTGTTGCTCTGTGGGTTCCTTGAACCTCTCCCAGGGGCCTGCTCAGGTTTTTACCATTGTCCACTCACTTCCTTGCTTGTTCTGATTAAATATGGGCTGCCTAGTGACAGGTGGCTGGCTGGTTAGCAGAGTTATGAGTTCTGAAGAAGATTTCACTCTTCCTGTTGCCCTCAAGACAATGCCACTTTTCTCCTTCTTTTGGTCCTTTGCTGTGCACTTTTTTGGGGGCTAGGTATTTAGGCATAGGCTCCAATAAAAAATTAACTTCCAGATAGGATAACTGAAAGATTCCTGAAAATTTTGTTGCATGTAAATTTTCTTTACCTGTAGATGGAAGTGTTATTATCAACAAATATATTGCTAACTTATCAACATATGCCACCTTATTAACATATTGAGGGGTATTATAGTGATTTCTCAGAAGGCATGATTATACACCTCTTTACATCATTGTGAGTATTCTGCATAACTTTTCTAAGTCAGTACTTATAAGTGAAATTGGTAGATAATAACGGAGGCCTCCATCAACTTGCTAAGTGCTATGTAACATGAGTCTCGGTGTTTCTAGCAGTTCATTTGTTTTAACCATGAATTCCTGACCAGATGCCAGGTATGCCTGCTTGGCACAGAATGGATTGTACAGGAAATTAAGTGGTTTTGATCTCCAAAGAATTGCTGGAGTCAAACTGAAACAGGTAAATGCTAAAAAACTGTTAGGGTTTACATAGATTAAAAACTCATTTACATAATTAGTTGAAGAATGAGTTGATGCATTTGGAAGATTATTCAGAACATACAGCTAGCTGAATTGTATTAGATATTTATTTCTTTACTTTTATACAGGTACAAAATACCTGACTTATAGAATTTAGTATAAATAAATTCTTTATCTCATGGTTTCCATGAGGGATGTTTGATTTTGACTGTTTTCAAAGCATAAATATCTTGGAAAAAAGTGAAAAGGAAAAGGTAACTTTTTTATGAGATCAAGGAGGAGAGAACAGTTTCAGAACCTGAGAAGAAGGATCCAGAGACCAGATTTGGTTCATGGGTTCCAACATACATGGCTGCAGTTTATACATATAGAAGCAATCATAGTAATCTCCTACACATTTCTGAAGCCAAAAGATGTTAACAAATGGATCACCAGGCTTTAGGGAATATATGACTTCTAGGAATATTAAAATCCTGAAGAGTGTTATACTGAGATGCTAAAAATTAAAATAATTGATTAAAAGATAATTAACAAAAATACTTTAAAAGATAGTTATTAGTAATATTATCATTCTATTGAGCTCATTGCCCTAGTAACCAAGCACCAACCACATAGTTATAAATTAACTGACCACGTCATTCTGCTGTTCTGTAATGTGTCATCCCCCCCACCTTAGTGACCTGTGTGCTATGTCAACTTTTGTTCCCCTTGTAAGAGAAAAATGATGCTGTGCCAACCACTGTTCCCTTTATGAGAGACAAATGTTGCTGAAATTGGCAGACCAAGGGCTATGAATTGGCTAACCACCCACTGTGAAATGCCTCTGTTCTCAAGCAAAGGGGAACAAAGGCCCACCTTATTTCTGTTTCTCATCACTATGTACTTATGATCAATGAGCTAATCATAAATGAACTATAAAAATCAGTCAAAACTCTAACTCAGTTGCACAGCTGTGCAAATTCCATTTGCACTGTGTCGCTGGGCCAGCTAAAATAAAAGTGCTTCTTTTAAAAAAGATGTCTTGCCCCATTTGTCATCTTGGGGTCTTGCCCCGTATTTCATCATGGGGCCATGTTTTTTTTTTTTTAAGTAGAGTACAAAAAGAGCTGAGTGCCAATTAGTGACAAGGGAAATATACGGCAAGGGGAACTTAGAGTGTGAAGTCCTTGTGTGTCCCTGCCTCACCAGAAGGAAATGTTTAATTGGATTAGGTATTTGGTTCCATTTCAGCAATAATTGTCACCCCCATGCTTGGCAATATGATCACTTTCAGAATTCAGCATTTTTATGAGCCTGAATGAGTACCAAGCTTGTCTTGGAGTACTGATGCTTGCTTTTATTTCATCCTTACTCTGTTGCAGAACATTACTATCATTTAAATGTAATATCTTCACTATACATGGTAACTGTGCTCCTTTTGTGTTCACATACTGGGTTTCTAGGTGGAAAATTAATAGAAATGAGTGAAAATCATGAAAATGAAGTCTGCTGCCTCTAACACAGACTTCCAACTCTCTGTTCTATTGTGTCCTGCCCTGGCCTGTTCTCAGAATATCTTCTGACATCAGTGGATATTTATTCCTGGAGGATTGAACGTGAATCCTGAAAACATTTGCAGCCCATTATGGAAAGAGTCCACTGATCCTTGAAAGAAAGCAGGAGTAGCCATGAAATGGCAGGGATAAATAAGAAATTTAGAGAAGACCTAACACCATCACTTCTCAAAATTTAATGAAATCGAATGGGAAATTGTACTTCTCAGTTCATTCCAGGAAGCAAGCATTACCTTGATACCAAAACAAGAGAACAATCCAAATAAGAAAGGGAATTACAGACCATTCTGCCTAGTGAACATTGAAGCAAAAATCCTCAATAAGATACTGGCAAACAGACTGCAGAATATCATCAAGAAGATTTTACATCATGATCAAGTGGAATTATTCCCTGGTACTCAGGGGCGGTTCAACATACATAAATCCATACATATAATACACCGTATTGACAAATCCAAAAGCAAAACTCATTTGATCACTTCAATAGATGCAGAAAAAGATTTTGACAAAGTCCATCGCCTATTCATAATAAAAAACCTACAAAAATTGGGGAGATGATCTTTATCTCAATCTGATAAAAGCCTTTTATTACAAACCAACAGTCAACCTCATACTAAGTGGACAAACACTGAAAGCTTTCACTCTAAAATCAGGAACAAAACAAGGATGCCTACTGTCCCCACTCTTATTCAGTATAGTCCTGGAAACTAGCTGGAGCAATTAGACAAGTAGAAAGAAATAAAAGGAATAAAGATAGAAAAGTAAAACCTTAAAATATCATTATTTGCACAAGACATGATACTCTACTTAGAAGACCCTAAAAATTCCACCAAAAGACTTCTAGTTTAAGAAGCAAATGCAGTAATATAGCTGGTTACAAAGGCAACACTCAACAATCAATAGACTTCATAAACAAGAATAAAAAACTCATGGAAAGAGAAATCAAGGAAACAGTAACTTTTACAATAGCATCCAACCAAATGAAATACTTAGGAATCAATCTAACAAAGGATGTAAATGATCTCTACACTGTAAACTACAGTACTCTCAAAAAGGAGATTGAAGAAGAGATTCTAAAATGAAGAGCTATCCCATAGTCTTGGGTAGGGAAATTCAATATAGTGAAAATGACCATACTTCCAAAGCTATTGTACAGATTTAGTGCAATCCCAATCAAAACCCCGTAGCATATCTCAAAGAATTACACAAAAGAAATCCTAAAATTCATCTGGAACCAGAAGAGACCTAGAGTAGCAAAGGTGATCCTGGGCAACAAAGGAAAGATAGGGTTCATCAAAATCCCTGACTTGAAATTATACTATAAAGGTATGGTGATTAAAAAAAAATGTGGTACTGACAAAAAACAAAACAAACAAAACCAGATGCAAAGATCAAAGGAACAAATTAGAAGATGGAGAAACAACCCCAGACCACTAAAGCATCTTATCTTTGAGAAAGGTGCCAAACAGAATCATTGGAAGAAAAGCAGCCTCTTTAATAAATGGTGCTGGAAAAACTGGCTCTATACGTTCTGAATATTATCTTTCAACATGTATTAAGCTAAGATCAGAATAGATCAAAGATCTTATATTAAAACAGAAACATTAAATCTGCTGCAAGATAGAGTAAGTAAAACTCTTGAAGACATTCATGTAAGCAAAGTCTTTATGAAGAAAACTTCGATTGAACAGCAAAAATCGAAGAGAATTAAGTGAGAATGTCACCCTACTGAAAAACTTTTTAATAGCAAGAGAAATCACTAACAGAGTGAAAAGACAACCCACAATGTGGGAGAAAATGCTTGCCAACTGTTCCTCAGACAAAGTATTACTATTGAGAGCACGAAAAACTAAAAAATTTCAGTCTTCCCAGATTTAAAGACCCAATCCAAAAATGTGCATCTGAGGTGAAATACACAGTTCTCAGATGAAGAAATAGAAACAGCAAATAAATATGTGATAAAATGTTCTGCATCACTCGTCATTTAAGAATTGCAAATTAAATAACACTGATATGTCACCTTACCCCAGAAAAAATGCCTACTGTCAAGAAATCAAGCAATAACGAATGCTGGAGAGGTTGTGGGGGAAAAAGGAACCCTTCTCCATTGTTGGTGGTAAAGCAACCACTGTGGAAATCAGTGTGGAGATTCCACACAAACTAGGTCTTCAATTCCCACTCAACTCAGCTATTCTCCTTATGGGTATCTACTCAAAAGAATAAAAATCATCATACCACAGTGATATATGTGCACCCACGTTTATAGCAGCAGTTTGTGGTAGCCTGATCTTGGATGGAATGCAGGACCTCTAGCTTGCCAGGCAGGTGCTTAAGATAAATCCCTGGACCACTTTTTTTACTTTTTAACTTTCAAATAAAATGGGTTTGGGAGAAAAAACGACTGAGGTAAAGACTTTCAGTGCAAATACCCATCAGACGTGCTGAGGTCAACATTCCAGAAAACAGCCAGCTCCAGAAGCCTCCACCATCTTTCATTGGGGATCCACAGTTACAGGGTGGTTTTTTTTCTGCAATTATTCTTGGTGGGGAAGGCAGGCAGGAGAGCAGGAGCCAATCAGTGATGAAGAGGCTGGCTGAAGAACTGTCCAATCAGGCGGGCCAAGGTAGGCGGTGTCTTCCGGTGTCATGGCGTCAATTGCAAGGCCAGGGCACAAAAGGGAGCACTAAATGTTTGCTAGACCACTGTTTTTTGCTTCTATTCGCTGTGGACTGCTTAGAAAGAACCTGGGAGACCTCCAATCTACGCAATGGTGATGTTATGGGATGGCAGCAGTGAAATGGGGTGGAATCGGGTTGAGACCAGTTAGAAGTGGTGAGAAGGGGCTGGGGGTTTAGCTCAGCGGCATAAGTGCCTGCCTTGAAAGCAGGCAGTCATAAGTTCGATCCCCGATACCGATAAAAAGGAAAAAGACCAAAAAAAAAAAAAAATAAAGAAAGAAAGAAAGAAAGAAAAAGAAAAGGGAAAAAAAAAAAAACAAGTGGTGAGAAGCAGCTGTGCTGTCTAGAGCCTGTGTGCTTAGCCTCAGACCCTGAGGTCCACTAGTGCTAGCAGTGTGTCATCCTCTGTCCCTTTTACCTCTCGCTGGCGCCAGGACAGTTCTGGGTCCCTAGAATGCTGTCATCACTGTGATACCACCAGGCCACAATGCCATTTTTGAAATCGCCTGCTACCCTTGCTCCTCCAACAGTCTGGGCCCAGGACGGGGCATGAGGAGACTTTGATTGCGATGTGTTTTCAAGCTGGGTGCAGCTGTAATAAGCCAGGTCTCTGCTCTCATTCCTGTCAGCAACAGATATGAAAGCCAGAAGTTTATAAATGTCTGTGCTGCAGGACCTGATAGCCACAACTGCTCTCCTTAAACTTATGCATTTATGTATTTTGTGATCGCCTAAATTTATACTATGTTCTCATATTTCCATGCTCATGAAAGGTGGAGGCAAAGGTTCTGAGAATTCAAAGACGTGTAGTGATGTGCCTCAGTGGAGGAAGGCTTCCCAAACACCGGATGAAATGCTGTGTATTATAGAGAAAAATGGAAAGAATTTCTGAACATACTTTATGTGACACATGTGCTCATAGATGATGTTTGGGAGAAGAGCCATAGAGGTTTAAATTTTGAGTAAAATGAAGCAGATGTAAAAGTGTCATCAAGGGCAGGGTAAACTGTGTTTGCTAAGACGAATTCCAGAAAGGGCTGCCTCTTAAATTCTCATTGAAAAATGCCTAAATTTAGTTATTTGCATGAACATATATATACACGTGATATCCTTCTGAATGGAAAGGAATATGGGTGTCATGTCTGAATTAAGAGGTGATTTAATAGCTTGGTTGATCATATACATTGTTGAAATTTGGAAATGCTCTGCAGTGGACTTTACTAAGTGGTGTAAAGGAGATGCCATAAATTGAAATTGTGCAGGGATATCAATAGTTTAGTCATGAAGGGTTTTCTGCTTAGGGTGGATCTGATGAGCATGGAAAGGATGTGGAAGTGACTGGCAGGACGCAGAGTGCCAATAGCAGGATATACAACAGAGAGGGTCTTCCCCGAAAGTCAGGTAGTTCTTAGGGTAAGCATGAAGTTAAAGTTGTCTTATGATTTCTTCCTTGAGGTGAAAAACACCAAGTCTGGTAAGAATCAGTATTCCACATCCTTGTCAACCCATGAATTCTGTGTTCTTCACTTGAGATCTAATTTTGATTATCTCTAATTATGACCCAGTGTCATGAAGGTGAAATTTGAATTTTTTTTGTAACAGGGATCGAACTCATGATCTCAAGCTTGCTAGGTAGGTGTTCATGCTGGTGAGCTAAATACCCAGCTCTGAAAGTGTTTTCTGTATACTATGTATGATATCAACATTGTTGCTCAGAAAATGTTGGATATTGTGGAATTTTTCTATATTGTATGGATATAATTTTTAAAGCAAACGAAAGGTGTCGTATGCAGTCACTTTTCAAGTTTCACATTGTCTGTGGGGTGTCTCAGTCGGGGTTTCTATATTTGAGACAGCTCTGTAACTTAGGCTAGCCCCAAACTCAAGGAAGTTCTCCTGCATCAGCCTCCCAAGATATATTTCTTATATCTGAATGGAGAGTGATCACTTGGTGACACTGAGCTATAATTTGAAACTTGTACCTGGTTTCATTGTTTATACATTTTTTACATACAGCAGTTTTCCATGAACATTTGAGTTATTATTTATGTATCATATTTGATGTTATTTATGTTTTGTTCTATGAAACCAAATTTAAATATCAAAATGCTGCTTAAGTATATTAAGAACAAAGGACTCAGTGGCCTAAATGAGATTTGAAGACATATCACTGTTAGTACATCAAAGTGATTCATGAGATATTTGTCTGCCTCTGTGCTTTATGGATGCTGGTCCTGCAGGCTCTCACTATGAGCTCTGCTGTAGAGGCAGTGCACAGGGGCTCTTGCAGTGACTCAGCATAAGAATCAGTGCTCCTATTCGGCTGTTACATTAGCTGTGAGTTGCAATATAGCATCAGATTTGCTGTCTCAAAAAATGTGTATATACAAAAATTAATCCCCAAGATGTGGAATAAAATTTGAAGAAATCAGTCTCCATTCAGCTGTTTTGTTTGGTTTTATTTGTGTAGTTTAGTTTTGTTTTATTGAGACAAGTTTTCTCTATGTATATCAGCTAGATTTGAACCCTTTATGGAGCACAAAATTGCCCTAACCTCAAAGCAGCATTCCTGTCTCAGCCTCTTGAGTGCTGGGATTATAGATCTGTTTGTTTTTACCATAGAAAATATTGAGGCTTGTAACTTAGCTGTGTTGTAGGTTGGCTTAATAGATGCCATCTTGAGCTTTGCATTTAACTAGTGCCCTGTATTTCACTCAGAAAAATGGAAAATCACTCAGTGTATAAGTCCCAGGAGAAAAGCAAAATGAGCTGTATCCAAAGAAAAAAATTAACCTGCTCAACAAAAGAAGCAGAATACAGTTGTCATCCAAAAATTATTATAAGATTCTAGCTAAATGATTTCCAACTATCTTTTGGTGATTCTATCTTTTAAAACATCTGTAACTTTCCAGTTCAGAGCCTCTTGTTTAGATCCTGAAATGGGGGTGGGGGTTCTGTATACAAGTGGTGCTGAGAGCAGCTAATGAAATTCCACATTTCTCAATTGGGTTGCTTGGCTTCCTATATTATTGTTCACAAAATCACCTCAAGCTGCAGAACCCTTACTGACACAAGCAAACCTCAGGATTAAATAACAGTGCCCCTGAAATGAAAGAATAGTAGTGAAAAGGAGAAGAGAAAAAAGACAAACACCATGTGCTATAATGCCCACCTCTTTTCTACAGCAATGAAGAAACTGAAACAGGAGAATGGCCATATATTCAAAGACAGCCTAACCTACACAGTGAGTGCAAGGCTTCCCAGAACTCCAAAGTGAGACTATGTCTTTAAATCAAAAACTAAAATGAAAAAAAAAAAGCAACCAAGTAGACATAAAAATTATTAAAAACGAACAATAATAGAGCTGAGTGAAATTTGAGTTATGTAAAATGGGAATTATTGAATGATGTTGCAGAGGAAAGAAGTCCATGTAGTGGCATCTAGGAGGGAGGGACTAACACAGACTTAGGAATGGCACGTATTGTCCTACAGGACAACAGTGACCTCCTTCCTCCTTTACTTTTGCAGTTCACTAGACTGAGGACTTCTAAAAGCTCATGGAAATGTTAAACTCAGGGCAAACAAGCAGCCTGAAATTCTGGCTTTGGCACAATGCCTTTAGCAGACATTTCATATTTAAATTGAGATAAGAGAAATATAATCCTGCCCTGTTTGATATCAAATGCAGCAAGTTTAATGGCTCACAACATTGAGAAATGAAGTCATAAACCAAAAGAAGTTCAAAAATTTTCTTAGAAAAAAAGAAAGAAGAATAGCCCTGAATTTTCAGGAGTGGTCTTCGGGTTTTTGGCCACAGACCTATTCTCTGGGGTCATTTATACAGGAAAATCACAATGTGAGTACAGTGTGGGTCTCAGACTACAATCAACCTATAAGCTTATAGCTGCTTAACTAATAATATTCAACAGGGGAACAAGTCAGCCAGAAAAGGTATGTGGAAAGAGCCAAGGCATTTAGTGGGAACAGTAGTCCAGGTGTTCTGGTCATTGAGTTTGTTAATTGATGCCCATCTGAACTTCCTGGAGGAGGTGGTGGTAACTGTAGTACATTTCAAACTGTTGTTTTTCTCTTCAGGACCATGTAGACCTGGTCACTTCATCTTCACCTTCAGGTCTGGCTTTCTTCAGCTGTCCCTGTAGCAGTGATTGTTGTATTTATAGTTTTTTGCATTAACTATTTGAGGTTCCAGTTCCTCTCTGATTGTATATCAATTTCTCTCTACATTGGTATCCTTTGCTAAAATCACAGTTCTATTTGAATGAATAAAGTGAAATATTCATTAATACAGGCCAGGGATTTATCTTAGGAGGCAGAAACACCTGCCTGGAAAGTGCTAGGTTGTAGCTTTGATGGCTGGTACCTAAAAAAAAGTAATTGAAACTGCAAGGAAAGAAAATAATTTCATTTGTGAAAATGTAGATTTACAAAATTTATAACTAAATATGTCAATGGCAAATTAAACATTGTTAATAGTCATATTTAGTATCTAAAGTAGTTGGGTCTGGAGATTGAACTCAAGGATACAAGGAGCTTCCTGGAGAGCACAAAGTCATGAGTTCAATCCCTCATACAGAAAAAAAAATCACAATTGTCAAAGATGCAGTGCTATGAGCACATTTATTGAAACTGGTACTTGGTATTTAATAGGCTCAATGTTTCTTTTGTGGCCTATGAAATACCTGCAGATAACATGGGTATTACAGTAAATGATATACTGTCCCTTATAGGATTGCTATTTTCTGAGTTGGTTTAGTTTTTGTTTTCCCACATACTTGAAAGTTGAAAATGTTGGCTGGTGCTAGGTAGAAAAACTGTGATAATCGTTTTTTCAATTTAATGATATATATCCATATATTCATTAAGAACATTTTATTTGCTACAGTTACTCCAAGTCAAATTGATAAACAATTCTTAAATTTACAGGCAGCTGAGTTAGTTAGAAATAGAGGCAACCATACCATGATATAGTGGAATGAAATTCCTGACCTTCTATGTCTGGTATGAGTTTGCGTTCTCTAAAATGCAAGAATGAATTTTAGAAAGAAGAGTGTTGAAAGGCGGAATATGTTTA